AGAATCAGGAGAGTTGATGGTATAAGTTGTCTGAAATCCAGCATCTGGCAGGCTTGAGCCCCAAGGAAAACCAGTGTTTCCATTTGAGTCTGGCTGCAAGAAAAGATGATGTGCCAACTCAGCAGTCAGACAGGAGAAGTTCCCTCTTACTTAGCCTTTTCTATTAGGATCTTTAGTTGATCGGGTGAGTTCACTGACCTTAACAAGGTTAGTCTGCTCTACTCAGTCCACTGATTAAAATGTTAACATGATCTAGAGACACCCAGACACCCTCACAGACACACCCAGGATAACTTTTTTTTTTTTTTGAGACAGAGTCTCACTTTGTTGCCCAGGCTAGAGTGAGTGTCGTGGCGTCAGCCTAACTCACAGCAGCCTCAATCTCCTGGTCTCAAGCGATCCTCCTGCCTCAGCCTCCCAAGTAGCTGGGACTACAGGCATGTGCCACCATGCCTGGCTAATGTTTTGTATATATGTTTTTAGTTGGTCAATTTATTTCTTTCTATTTTTGGTAGAGACGGGGTCTCACTCAGGCTGGTTTCGAACTCCTGACCTCGAGCAATCTGCCCGCCTCGGCCTCCCAGAGTGCTAGGATTACAGGTGTGAGCCACCATGCCCGGCCCAGAATAACGTTTGACCAAAATGTCTGGGCACCCAATGGCCCAGTCAAGTTGATACATGAAATTAACTATCACACTAAGAGTGGTTTATCTTTCTTAAAAATCGCATTATTGATAGCATCCATGATAGACAGTGTGGTCTCTAAGTTGCCAGAACCACATGCCCAAGTGAAGACTACTTGTAGCTGTAGATTTACAGTGATTCAACTGAGAGATATGAATTTCTGACTATTTTATTCCTAATATATATAGTCCTGTCTGAAAATTCACATTGAAATTTATGTTTATTTTATTATAAGTTACTTTTATCTTTATATTATAGTTGCCATGTTATGTAGATACTTTTTGTTTTTGTTTTTGTTTTTTTTGAGACAAAGTCTCACTTTGTTTCCCAGGCTAGAGTGAGTGCCATGGCGTCAGCCTAGCTCACAGCAACTTCAAACTCCTGGGTTCAGGCAATACTGCTGTGTCAGCCTCCCGAGTAGCTGGGACTACAGGCATGCGCCACCATGCCCGGCTAATTTTTTCTATGTATATTAGTTGGCTAATTAATTTCTTTCTATTTATAGTAGAGATGGAGTCTCGCTCTTGCTCAGGCTGGTTTTGAACTCCTGACCTCGAGCAATCCGCCCGCCCCGGCCTCCCAGAGTGCTAGGATTACAGGCGTGAGCCACTGCACCCGGGTTTGTAGATACTTTTTGAATATATATAAAATAAATAGGTTATTTCTGAATTTCATTTCTGGATAATAAAGGTATGTTTTAAATAGCTTTTAGAGAAAGTGGGTTTTGGGCCTGGTGTGGGTGAGAACCATGGTCTCAGAGATTTCATGCTGCCAGGTGCCTTGACCAGGCTGCATCTCAGCATCTTTAAAGCTTTGGCTGTGGTTTTTTTTTTTTTTTTTTTTTGAGATGGGATCTTACCCTGTTGCCTGGTGTCATCATAGCTCACTATAATCTCAAACTCCTGGCCTCAAGTGATCCTCCTACCATGGCCTACCTGGGTGCTGGGACTACAGGTGTGAGCCAGTGTACCCGGCCTGGCTGTGCTTCTTGTCTCCTAGGACCTTTGCAAAACCATATTCTTTCTCTTTATCAGATATTTTACAGTGTCGGGATCATCCTTGTTTGATGTTATTCATTAAGTTGTTTTTTAAAAAAATTACAGCCTTATTGAGATATAATTCCTACACCATACAGTTTACCTATTTAAAGTATAAAATTAGCGGTTTTTAGTATATTCACAGGACTGTGCAACTATCACCACAATTTAATTTTAGAACTTTGCATCCTCCCAAAAAGAAACTCTGTACCCTTTTAGCAGTCAGTCTGTATCCTCCATACCCCTAAACCCCTGACAATCACTAATCTACTTTCCCTCTCTCTGGATTTGCCTAGTCTAGATAATTCATATAAATGGAATCATATAATACATGATCCTTTGTGTCTGGCTTCTTTTATTTAGTACAGATGGTCCACTATTTATGATAGGGTTACATCCTGATAAAATTTTGTGGACAAATATTTTCATTTCTCTCGGGTATGTATCCAGGAGTGGAATTACTGGATCATGTGGTGACTGTGTTTACCCATTTGTGGAACTGCCATACTGTTTTTTTTCCAAAGCAGCTGTACCATTTCATATCCCCTCCAGCAGCGTATGAGAGTTCCAGTTACTCCACATCCTCCACACTTGTTACTATTAATATTTATCTTTTTGATTATAGCCATTCTGGTGGGTGTAAAGCAATGGTTAATTAGGTTTTATTTCTGGAACAGAGATGACAAGAAAGGATCAGTCTTGCATTGTCCAGTAAGGTAGTCACCAACCACATGCAGTTTTAAGCTAAATAAAATTTAAAATTCAGTTCCTCAGACACACTAGCCACATTTTAAATGTTTACTAGCCACAAGTGGCCAGGGCTGCCATATTAGCACAGATAGATATATAGAACATGTTAATCATTGCATGAAGTTCTGTCAGGTAGTACTGGACTAGGAAATGTTGATTTGGTGGGCTGGAAGAATTGGCTGAGAATGGTAGAGTCTGAGTGGTGTAATAGAAAGTAGCGTAGGCATGGAATTTGGAGATGAGAAGAAAGAAACTTTGGGGAGCCATTTATAAGACATAAGACATAGAGAAGAGAAGCTAAAAAATGAGAAGTTGAAGAAAAGGGTATTTGGCTTTGATTTGGTTTTTCTGTAGTACTTGGAGTTAGTGAATGGGTCCAGTCTATCTAATGCCTTAATTTCAGGTGAGAAAAGCATACAATGCTGGGTAGCGTGGGTCAGTATAATTATATATACCTGCCGTGGGACACTGGAATATATCTTGGTCATTTTCAGTATGCTCTGGAAGAGTAGGAGATAGATGGTAGAGCTGAACTAGAAGGAGTACTTATTCTAGGCAGATTAGTCAGATGGATCAGGAAAGTGGAAAGCAAAAGGGTGAAGAGTGGATAGGTAATTCGATGATTACCATACATAGCGCTTTCTATAAGGAGTAACCAGGAAGCCAGGGGAAAGCTAGAAAAGAGCCTCGGAGCTTTTGTTGTGTTTTGATTGAAGATAGTGACAGTGTTCTTTTTCTCCAAGGCCTTCTCATGTTGAGGGTGAAGCAGAGCCTCCTCACCCTGTCTCGCTGTTCCCACCACCATGCCAGTCTGTATAGTTTATATTATGTCAAGGCAAGATAAATCTGGAGTGTTCAAGCACCGTCTGGGTAAAACATTCAGTAAGGCTATTGGAATGAGCCTTTTCTTTTTCCAAAAGGTTATTCCATTTCTGTTTATTTGTAGAAATCTTCATAAAATAGACTGACCTCTTTTTGTGCCCAACATGGTTTCTCAGAGCCATCATACGTAAACCTCCTTACATTCAAGATAGGTTTTCATTTTTGATAATTGCATTACTCTGCCCAAAATAATCCGTGGTGTATTTCTAAACATGGTATTATTATAAAGACTGCTTTCTAGCTCAGTTAACAAACGTATATTTAAGAGCTTATCTGGGCCATGCGTGGTGGCTCACACCTGTAATCCTAGCACTCTGGGAAGGCCGAGGTGGGCGGATTGCTCAAGGTCAGAAGTTCGAAACCAGCCTGAGCAAGAGTGAGACCCCATCTCTACTATAAATAGAAAGAAATTAATTGGCCAACTAATATATATAGAAAAAATTAGCCGGGCATGGTGGTGCATACCTGTAGTCCCAGCTACTCAGGAGGCTGAGGCAGCAGGATTGCTTGAGCCCAGGAGTTTGAGGTTGCTGTGAGCTAGGCTGACGCCATGGCACTCACTATAGCCTGGGAAACAAAGCGAGACTTTGTGTCAAAAACAAAAACAAAAAAAAAACAAGAGCTTATCTGACTTCAGCTTTGTGTGCCACCAGTGTTTTTCTAAGTCCTCTTAGCTGTGAAATCAAGTTTGTACCACTTAGGTGGAAGAATTGTTGCCATATTCCTTATAGGTATATAGAATTACTTTATTTTCTAAACCAAAACTTAGGACTGATTTTTTTTTTTTTTTTTTGGAGACAGAGTCTCACTTTGTTGCCTAGGCTAGAGTGAGTGCCGTGGTGTCAGCCTAGCTCACAGCAACCTCAATCTCCTGGGCTCAAGCGATCCTCCTGTCTCAGCTTCCTGAGTAGCTGGGACTACAGGCATACACCACCATGCCCGGCTAATTTTTTCTATATATATTAGTTGGCCAATTAATTTCTTTCTATTTATAGTAGAGACGGGGGTCTCACTCTTGCTCAGGCTGGTTTCGAACTCCTGACCTCAGGCAATCCGCCCGCCTCGGCCTCCCAGAGTGCTAGGATTACAGGCGTGAGCCACCGCGCCCGGCCAGGACTAATATTTTGATGAAGAATTTCTGTGCTGCCTCTCCATAAGAGAAGTATGCTGGGAAATGGGTTTAGATCCTCAATGCTGGGATTTCTGGGATATTCTGCTGGCTTATATAGGGATATCACAGCAAATATTTGAAATTAGGACTTTGCTGGATAATTTGGAAAGTAGGATCACTCTTAGATACCTGCAGAATATTTAATTCCCAAGTGCTGCGATGATTAATGCTTTATTAAATGCTGAACATGATGTACACTGTGTTATATTTAGTCAGTTCTGTTAGAGATCTACCATATTCTTTTTACTAAATGAACTAGAATATACAAAATAATTTTACATTGGTAATAATGTACAAGGAGGAAGCCTGATTAGCAAGTCTAAGAATTTTTCAACTTTTATTTTCTGAAGTGACATATAGGTTTCAAACAATTTTATCACATGGTAAAATTCTTCTAAAACAAATTTCTAAATATTTTAGAAAAAAAAAGCTTTCTTCCAGTTTTGTTCTCAGTTTACTGCCATTTCTCTCCACAGATTTGCTTGTAAATGCATCACGAAGAGGCAGCCCAGAATGAAGAAAGCAAGCAGGAGTGCTGGCTCAGTGCCTAGAGTGTCTGGGATAAGTAAAACACAAACAGTAGAAAAAATTAAACCTGAAAACAGTTCTTCAGCATCTACAGGAGGCAAACTTGTAAAACCTGGAACAGCAGCATCATTGTCAAAGGTATGGTGATGTGGCGATGTTTGAATATGCAGTGGATTGTAGGAGGAGTGAATTTTAGTTTGTCGAATGAACATCATTCAGAGTGTGCCCTCTGCTGGTGCTGGGAACACACAGCCTTCGAAGAGCGCTTATGGCCGGGTGGACTTAATTTGTGTTTTTGGTCTGTCTCTATGAATGAAACCAAACAATAGGCTTATTTATGAAACAGATAATTGAGCACCTGCCTTGTGCAGGGTGCTGTACTCATGCAAACTGGAGATAGAGTCCACCTTCAAGGAACTTGTGGAATAAAGGGTGGAGGTGAGGCATAAACACGCATAACTGTCAGATGCCCTGGGAGAGCAGTAAAGTGGTATGAACAGTTTCAGGTAGGAATTTATTGTTTCTAGCCCAGGAAGGCTTTATGAAAAGAGTTGCAAGGTGACCATCAGTAGCTCTCCTGTGACCCCCAGACAGGTATTTTTATTCTCCCCCTACACACTGTAAAGTGTTGTTCTGCTTCTGGCAGCTGATTCAGCATTAATTCTAGTTAAAATTGAGTGATGTTAATTTAGTAAGTGCATAATTAATTTTCTTTATACTCCTTTAGAAGCAGTTTAGTCCTCGTTAGTATAGGATAATAGTTAATTGGATCATGGGCTTTGGGGGCAGATAGACCTGAGCTCAGTACCTGCTTCATAGGGCTGTGGTTAGATTAAATGAGGGAATATATGAAAGTGGTTAGCACAGGGCCTGGTACATAGCAAGTGCTTATTAGTAAATGACAGGTAGTAGCATTTTTACTGGCTAGCTCTAGAAGCTTTTTTCAGGCCCAGGAATGATTCCTGAATGTGACAGTTTTCTTATGAGGTATTCTCAGTGTCTGTGTTGGTTTGGGCTATCCAAGGGACAAGATCACTCTAGGCCTTTTTTTTTTTTTTTTTGGTCAAGTTTTTTTTTTTTTTTTTAGACCTAATCTCACTCTGTTGCCCAGGTTAGAGTGCTGTGGTGTCAGCCTAGCTCACAGTAACCTCAAATTCCTGGGCTTAAGCGATTCTCTTGCCTCAGCCTCCAAGTAGCTGGCATTCTAGGCACAGGCCACCATGCCTGGCTGATTTTTTCTGTTTTTAGTAGAGACAGGGTCTCACTCTTGCTCAGGCTGGTCTCAAACTACTGAGCTCAAGTAATCCTCCCGCCTCAGCTTCCGAGAATGCTAGGATTACAGGTGTGAGCTACTGTGCCCGGCCCACTGGTCAAGTCTTAATTATCATTGCACAGAGATCCACACGGTCATCTTCTTCCAGCCTTTCTTGGGCCAGAATTTGTTTGTTTGTTCTTTGCTTGTTTACTCTAGGGTTGTGGTGTTTGGGGTAGAAACTTTGACTCTATGCAGAAAACAGGAGGGAGTTTCAGCTAGTCTGATAGTGAGAAACCAAGCATGACTAGAAACATGATCTGTTCAAACTTCTTTTGTCCAGGCACGGCCTTGATAGATCATGTCTTAATTATTTTAAGAGACACCTCAGCGGAATAGTTGATGAGGGACTTCCTTGTATGTGTTGAAAGATCTAGCAGGAAATGCTGGTTTTTGTATTCCAAGGTTGTCGAAACTAAACTCATACTTATTCCATGGGCTGATGGTCTTGGAGATGCCCCCAGATTTTCTCCTTCTACAACTCTGATGAGTTGCTGGGGTGTCATCTTGTGGCCTGGAGGATGGTACCAGGAGTAGACCCTTGCCCTACTTCCGTTAGTCTGAGTGAACACCCTGAATTACTTCCTTGGTGACAGTGCTGCTGCTCTTTGGAATAAGACAGACGGCGTTTTCTGACCTAACTAGTTACTTAGTTACTGGAGCTGTCTTTGGAGTATCGTGTCTGTGTGACTGGGTGACCTGTTATTTATGTGACTGGAAGAACAGGTTGAAATATTGGCATTGGATGTGCTCTGCTGCCTGCCTTCTGTTGCCAGTGGCAGGCAGTGTCTTTGAAGGTTTACTATGGAGAATGCACTGAACAGGCAGGTCACATCTTCCGAGGCTTGGATCTGGAGGGTCTGGTGGTTTGGTCTTGAACAGTGAGTACTCTTCCATTGTAAAGTAGAACTGTTTGCCTGCTCTTGCCAGTGCATGCCAGCTGTCATTTAGCTTTAGCTGCGTTGGCAAGTTTGTTTAAACATTGTGTGTGTGTGGGGGGGAGGGTCAGGGAAGAGGTGGAGCTTTTTGGGAACACTTTGTTTCTACTGGAGCAGTTGCTTTCACTTAAGAGAGAAGAAAGAAGTCATTGAATAGAGATGTAAGTAAGAAGAGACAGAAGGAAAGGAGAAAATAGTGAAAACGAACAGAAAAATTAAAAACATTAAAGGGGTTTGAGGCCCTACAAACTTAAGTCATATTTTATTTTTCTAAGTTTTCACATTTTAATGGTGCTTCTCTGGCACACAAATGCCTCCCACAACTTGAATTCCTGTAACTATGATGGAACATTGATGATTAACCAGATGAATAAAGTGTTTGGCTTAATTATTTAGACATCTGGTGCACATACTCATTCATGCGTGGACACCCACACCTGTGTATCTGTGACTGTATAGTATTCTCATGACATTTTTCTCACAGCATCCGGGCATAGGTATACCTATTTCTTTACCTCTCTCATTTCAAATATTGTTTGAGGCTGGATCTAGTTGAGGGTTAGGGAGAAGGGTCCTTTTGATCCAGAGCATTTCACTGCTGATTGGAACTTTTATAAATACCAAACAAAGCACTACTTCTGTTCATACTAAGTTTTGGGGACATTATTCCCACTCTTGTCAGGAGCTATGACATATGGCTTGGGGCCTTTGCATGGCTAAGTTTCTTTTGTCACAGCTAGTGGGAAGGATTATTTTCCATGTAGAGACGGTCTGCTCCATGCCAGCACCTTCCAGCATTCACACACTTTTCAGGTGTTCATGATTAGTGCTTGTAGAAATCATATATTTTTTCATTATACTGAGAGCACTTTTTTCTAAAAATTAATAGATTGGAATTAATAAGCTTCAGTTAGAATCTAAATAATCGATAACTCTCAGTGATTATTTGTGATCACACCCTTGCAGTGTAAAATTTAGTTTATGGTATGAGAAATTCACCTCTGAAACTTGAAAGGTAACATTTGAAAACTAATCTTAACATTTGAGATAAAGATTCAGACTATGAAATTGGACTAGACCTTGAAAGGCATGTGTACTTTGGTCGTAGTATATCATTATTTGTATCTGGAATGTTTTCACCAAGATGATTTGCACTAAATGATTTTATATCTGTTATTAAAAAGTGGGCTAAAAATTTGTTCCTTCATCAATTTCTTGTTTTTTGACTCTTGCTGATGGGGGATGTTTATGTGTGGGAACTAACATGAATTCACAGAATTTTGTAATAAAAATGGAAAGACATAGGAAAACAGCTGAGAGCCTGCTAGTAGCTTAGTGTAAAAGGCAAGTTGGAAAGTGTGGAGTTGTTTTTTGATTCGTTTTTTACTTTTTTGTTGAAGTAAAGCATACATACAGAGAAATTCACAAATCACAGGTGTTGAGCTTAGTGAATCACTGCAAAGTGAACATGGTCTGCAGCCACCAGCCAGGTCAAGAAATAGAACATATGATTAGTGAATGGCTATATAAAAAGAAAAAAGAAAGGCTGGGCACGGTGGCTCATGCCTGTAATACTAGCTCTCTGGGAGGCCGAGGCGGGTGGATCATTTGAGCTCAGGAGTTTGAAACCAACCTGTGCAAGATCGAGACCCTCTTACTATAATAGAAAGAAATTAATTGGCCAGACTAATATATATAGAAAAATTAGCCGGCATGGTGGCCACATGCCTGTAGTCCCAGCTACTCGGAGCTGAGGCAGGAGGATTGCTTGAGCCCAGGAAGTTTGAGGTGCTTTGAGCTAGGCTGACGCCACAGCACTCACTCTAGTCTGGGCAACAAAGTGAGACTCTGTCTCAAAAAAAAAAAACCCAACAAAAAAAGAAACAGAACATACCTGCCCCTCAAAAGCTTCCCTCATGCCCCTGCCTAGTCACTGCCCTTCCTGTCTTCCCCAAAAGTAGCTACCATCCTAACTTCTTGTGCCAGAGATTAATTTTGACAGTTTTTGATCTTTATAGAAATGTAATCATATACTGTGTTCTTTTTATGTGTGTCTTTGGTGTCGTCTTCTCTTCTCTTCTTTCCTCTTCTTCTTCTCTTCTCTTCTCTTCTCTTCTCTTTCTCTTCTCTTCTCTTCTCTTCCTTCGCTCTTGTTCTTTCTGTCGTTTGCTGTCGTGTATCGTGTCGTGTGGTTCCGTTCTTTTTCAGAGTCTTGCTTGTTGCCCAGGCTAGGTGAGTGCCGGGCGTCACCTAGCTCACAGCAACCTTCAAACTCCTGGGCTCAAGGATCCTTCTGCCTCAGCCTCCCAAATAGCTGGGACTACAGCATGCACACCATGCCCGGCTAATTTTTTTCTATATATATTAGTTGGCCAATTAATTTCTTTTCTATTTTATAGTAGAGACAGGTTCTTACTCTTGCTCTGGCTAGTTTTGAACTCCTGACCTCGAGCAATCTGCCCGCCTTGGCCTCCCAGAGTGGTAGGATTACAGGTGTGGGCCACCACGCCCGGCCTTTTAAATGCAGATTCTTTTCGCTTCATCTTCGGAGCCTCTTCTTTTTCTCTCTCACATTGATGAGATTCTGCTTTTTCTAGTAAACTATTGAAAGCCAATTTGATATTTCCAGCATCTAATGTAGTTGATCTCTTAGTTGAACTGATTATTGCCACAAAATCTTCAAAAGTAGTATTTACTTCAACTACAAATCCTTTATCCTTTAGAATGTCTTTTATTATCTTCTTCTCATCGTGATAACATGTTTTAAGATCCTCAACATAAAACTTGAAAAGATCAAGTGCAGTTGATCCAGGCTGACCAAGCATATTAGTGAATCTAATGTCAGAACTAATAGTTGGATATAATTCCATCCAAGATGACATAGAATGTAGTTGTCCATGTTCATGCAATTCATCTAAAAATATCTGAAAAGATTCCCTATTTTAACACTGTCTTCTCCTTTCTCTCAGCAAACTCTTTTGTTTTTCTTCTTCTTCTTCTTCCTTTTCCAAATCCCGAATGTGTTCTTCAAAGCAAATTAATGCATCTTCTCTGTCCATGTTTTGTAACTCCTCATCTTCTGCAAAAGTTGAATTATCCATCAGATATTGCTGTGCTTCAGACCAAGTAGTAGAATATGTTACATTAGCCATGTTGTCCAGTATGTTTTTGAGGGCTTCCTAATTTCTCTTTCTCAATTGCTTTGCTTGTTCCTTTTCTTTTTTTGAGAGAAAGAATAAAACATCTTTGTAAATTTTAAGACGATCACATTCTGATATTGCATTGCAGACTTCCATCTCTCTGAACATTTGCTCTGCTTTTTTGTATCTTATTGTGGAAGTCATTTTCTCATGATTTTCAAGAAACCGCTGAAAGGATTCCTTAGTCTCTTTGTATTTGATCTTGCTTCTTTTTCTGTCTGGACTTTATAGGCATTAAACGCCTGCTTTTTTTCACTCAACTTTGCTAAAGCACTGTATCGTGGATCATTAATGATCATTTTCATAGCTTGCTCCCATGAAGCATTGAATGGTACCCGCTTTTCTTTCAACAATTCTTTAAAAGCCTGCTTTGCCTCCTCCTTTGTATTCCAGGTATATGTTTTTTTTTTGCTGGTTGGCTCTCTTCCTCTTGTTTTTTGGGTGTAAATTCAGCTATAGTTTCCTGTTTAGATGTTTCTTCTCCAGTATTACTAGATACTTGAATACTCGATCCTGAATAGCTGGGGTACTAGTAAGTTGCACTTGTTCCTCAGTTGAAATAGTTACTGTATTTTCATTATCTACAACAGTAGCAACAATGGAAGTAACTTCGGGTTCAGAAACAACTGGAACACTTCCACTGACTGTATTAGAAGCAGAAGTGGAAACACTGGCATTGGCTGCAGCAGCAGCTGCGGCTGCTGCTTCTGCAACAGCTGTGGTGCTCATGGTAGTTGGAATTTCTGTTGTAGGAACCGGGGCTGCTGTTATGCACTCTTCTTGCTTACTACTATCTTCAGCTTTGATCATTGCATGCCCGTTTCATTATGTAATAAGACTTCCAGCAACAATGGTATTCTGGTATCCTTCCAGATCCTCAAGTTCTTTAAGTTTGGCCCAGCGAGATTCTTTTGTTTGAGAATTATAATAGTAAGGCTTTCCTGAATCAGATTTGTATTCTTTCCAGGGACATTTAGACAACAGTTGCTCAGCAGGTGTTTTAAGATTATCTGGTTTCTCCCAAGTAGATTGTTTTGTTTTAGTATTATAGTAGTAGGTCCTTCGATTTATGTTCAGTCCACATTGATTTTTTTTTTTTTTTTTTTTTTTTTTTTTTGAGACAGAGTCTCGCTTTGTTGTCCAGGCTAGAATGAGTGCCGTGGCGTCAGCCTGGCTCACAGCAACCTCAAACTCCTGGGCTCAAACCATCCTTCTGCCTCAGCCTCCCGAGTAGCTGGGACAACAGGCATGTGCCACCATGCCCGGCTAATTTTTTATATATATATCAGTTGGTCAATTGATTTCTTTCTATTTATAGTAGAGACGGGGTCTCGCTCTTGCTCAGGCTGGTTTTGAACTCCTGACCTTGAGCAATCCGCCCGCCTCGGCCTCCCGGAGAGCTAGGATTACAGGCGTGAGCCACCGCGCCCGGCCGAGTCCACATTGATTTTGCACCAGATGTACCTCCAGCTACATCCATGCTATTTACACCTGGCGGTAAGGCAGGCTGCATGGATGCCTGAGACATATGAGACATCATCATTCCAGGCATTACTGAAGACATCATTCCAGGCATTTGTCCCATTGGTGGCCCTCCCATAGGGGCATCATTTGTGGCATCATTCCATGAGGTACCAGAGGCATATTCACTCTCTGACCCATAGGATGCATCCCATTGGGGCATAATGCATGCCGGGGTGCCCCATCATGAGGTCTCTGCGCTCGGCTCCTGTCCCTGGCCTCATCGTTGGGCTCAGTCTCTTTTTCTACTCTTTTAATGGTATCTTTTGATGAACAGAAGTTATTTCAGTGTAGTCCAATTTTTAACCTTTACTTTATGGGTTTGTGTGTCTGTGTGTGTGTGTTTTGTTTAAGAAATCTTAACCTATTCCCAGGCCAGGAAGATAGGCTCCTATATTTTTTTCTTGAAGTGTTTTTGTTACATTTCATATTTAGATCTTCAGTCTATCTGGAATTAATTTTTAAAAAGCTTTTTAGTTTGAAATAATTTTAGACTTACAGAAAAGAAGAAGGATATGTACAAAGAATTATCCTGTATACTTTTTACCAAGACTTCCTACATTTTAACTTTTTATCATGATTACTTTGTTTCCCTATATATTCATTTAAACATACACTTTTTTTCTTGAGCTGTTTAAGTATAAATTGTAGGCAATGCTCTTTTACTGTGGAATACTTTAGTGTGTATTTCCTGAAAAACAAGGACATTCTCTTTTATAACCATAGTACAATTACAAAATCAGGAAATTGACATTGAAACAATGCTAGTATCCAAGGTATAAACTTTCATTAAATTTCACCAATTGTGCTAATGTAGCAAAAGAGAAAAAAAATGTTTTTCTGGTCCAGGATCCAGTCCAGGGTCATGTATTACATTTAGCTGTTATGTTCTTCATTCTCCTTAAATTTGGATTAGTTCCTCAGTCTTTGTCTTTTATGACTTTGACATTTTTAAAGAGTGCAAGGTAGTTATTTGATAGACTGCCCTCCAAATTTGGGTTTGTCGATGTTTCCTTGCGATTAGGTTCGGGTTGTACGTTTTGGCAGGAATACCACAGAAGCGGTGTCCTTAGTGCAGCATTTCTGGAAACACATGACTTCCATCTGTTCTGTCACTGGGGTTGTTAACTTACTTTGGTTAAGGTACTGTAGGTTAGGTTTCTTCACTGTCACATTACCATGTCTTTTTTTTTTTTTTTTTTTTTGCAACAGGGTCTCACTCTGTCACCCAGGCTAGAGTGCTGCAGTGGTGTTAACATAGCTCACTGCATCCTGAAACTCCTGGGCTCAAGTGATCCTCCTGTCTCAGCCTCCCGAATACGAGGCACTATTGGCGAGCATGCCATCACACCCAGCTAGTTTTTCTGTTTTTTTGTAGAGATGGGATCTTACCCTTGTTCAGGCCAGCCTCATTCATTCATATTATTGTGGATTCATGGATTCTTATTCAGTAGGCTGTGAATTGTTAGAATCATTTTATCTACCTATCAGTCGATTGATTGCTTCTTCCCAGTATAATGCCTTTTTTTTTTTTTTTGGTGGGGGTTGAGGTCTCCCAGTGTTGCCCAGGCTGGCGCCTTGAACTCCTTGCGTCATCCTGAGTCGCTGCCACAATAGGCACTCGGTCACACCTGGCTAGGATCATTCATTTTTTTTTTTTTTTTGAGACAGAGTCTCACTCTGTTGCCCAGGCTAGAGTGAGTGCCGTGGCGTCAGCCTAGCTCACAGCAACCTGGGCTCAGAAGCGGATCCTTCTGCTCAGCCTCGCCGAGGTAGCTGGGATACACAGGCAGTTACACCACCATATTTATAGTAGAGATGGGGTCTCGCTCTTGCTCAGGCTGGTTTCGAACTCCTGACCTTGAGCAACCCGCCCGCCTCAGCCTCCCAGAGTGCTAGGATTACAGGGATGAGCCACCGCGCCCGGCTGGATCATTCATTTTGATGATCAGATTGTCCCTGATTTAGACAGTGGGAGCCCCTTCAAGCTGTGTTTTTCTTTTGACATATTTCTGTCATTCTTTGATCACTTCTTAATTTCTGGCATAATGAGTTTTGTCTTTTTTTAGCCCCAGCCCGAGAATCAGCCATTTCTTCAAGGAGGCCTTGTTCCTTTTAGTAGAAGATGGTATTTAAAAACCAAGATCTGGAAGTTAGGTGTGCTCTTTGCTTTTGGGAAACACATACCAACTTGCATACACACGTATGCAATGTATGTGTCTGTATCAGCTTCTATATCTATGTATTAAAGTGTATGAGGTGGGGGCACACTTGTAGTCCCAGCTACTCAGGAGACTGAGGAAGGACAATCCCTTGAGCCCAGAAGTTGGAGGCTGCAGTGAGCTAGGATTGCACCACTGCTGTCTCGCCGGGGCAACAGACTGAGACCCCATCTCGTTTAAAAAAAGTATGAATTTACACTGACTTCTAATTCCATTGACATACAAGGTTCATAAAAGCCTTCCTACATTCCTTAATTGTAATCCCTTTCTCCCAACAGTGAGAAACCTGGCTTCTATTATCTGTATATATTTACTTATTTTCTCAACCCTAGAATATACAGAAAATAGTTTGACAATTATTCACCCATACCACTATGAAATGGAAATCTACCAACTAGAATTCAATATTTGCTCACATGTTTTTGTCTTTAGCTTGTGAGTTTGATGATTTTTGGTCAAAATACTGTGTTCTAAAGATACTTGAATTGTGCTATTCATTTGAAGTGCAGTTAGGTCCATTTGGTCTTATCATGTTCTGTCCTGGACTTCCTTTATCCTTTTAATTTTATTTATTTATTTTGACTATGTGAGACACTAATGTGGCTCTACAATCAGAACTACATGGGAAGGTATATTCAGAGAAGTCTCCCTTCCTTCCCCCATTCCTTCTTATTCTGTTCCCATCCACGCCTGGAGGTAAACAGCCAATTTGGTTTTTGTTTATCCTTCCTGTGTTTATATTTGCATAAATGCACAGATACACATGTATATATTTCCCCTTTCTTACACGAAAGGTGGCATAATATAATATATTTTTGTATTTTGCTTATTTTCCTTAATATATTCTGGAAATCTCTCCATAACAATTTGTAGCAGTCTTATTCTTTTTTCTAGCTGTTGAATATTTAATTATGTTCACTAAAGTATACTATGTCCACTTACCTGTGTATAGGCATTTAGGGTCCACCAGTATTTTGCAATGAAAAACAATGCTGCAATGAATAATATTGTGCATGTGTGTTTTTGTATTATTTGGAGGTGTCTCTTCAGGTTCAGTTGCTAGAAATTCAGTTGTTGAGCAAAAGGTAAATGCATATGTAGCTTTGTTAGATATTTCCTGATTCCTTTCTTTTTTTTTTTTTTTTTTGAGAGTCTCACTCTTGTTGTTCCGGCTAGAGTGCCGTGGCGTCAACCTAGCTCACAGCAACCTCAAACTCCTGGGTTCAAGCAATCCTCCTGTCTCTGCCTCCTGAGTAGCTGGGACTACATGTATGTGCCACCATGCCCGGCTAATTTTTTTTTATATAGTTTTAGTTGGCCAATTAATTTCTTTCTATTTTTAGTAGAGACGGGGTCTCCCTCTTGCTCCAACTGGTTTTGAACTCCTGACTTTGAGTGATCCGACCTCCCAGAGTGCTAGGATTACAGGCGTGAGCCACCGCGCCTGGCCTCCTGATTCCTTTCATAAGGCACCTTATATCAAGGTGCATTTCCACCAGGAACTTAGGAGAGTGCCTGTTTCTCCATAACCTTCTCAGAAGAATGTGTTATTCTTTTTCATTGTTGCCAGTCTGAGAGGGACAGGTGCTGCTTAATTTGCATTTCTCTTACTGTCAGTTAGGTTGATCATCTTTTCTTATAGTTGTGTGTATATGTGTGAATTGATTGTGTATGATTGTTCATTCATTTTGCTCATTTTTCTTTTTTCCCTCAGTTATTTTTTTAGAGAAGGGATCTTGCTCTGTTGCCCAGGCTGGAGTGCAGTGGCAGATTCGTAGCTCACTGCCTCAGCCTCCTGAGTAGCTGGGACTACAGTTGCGTGCCACCCTGCCCGACTAATTTTCAAAATTATTTTTAGAGACAGGTTCTGCCCTCGATTTTTAAGAATTCTTTATGTAGGGATCTTTGCCCTTTATCTGTGAGATACTGCAAATATACTTTCCCAGCTTTTCACGTTTTTTTCCCACGTTTTTTTACTTCACTTATGATGGTTTTTTGACCATGCAAAAGACTTTTAAAAATTTTAAACTAAATTTTTTTTTTATTTCTAAGATTTTTATTTTTACATAGTCAAATGATCAGTTCTTTGTTTTATGATTCAGGATTTTGAGTCTTAGTTTAAAAACCTTGGACTTTAAGATTTATTTTTAGGCTGGGCGCAGTAGCTCAAGCCTATAATCCTAGCACTCTGGGGGGATTGCTTGAGGATAGGTGTTTGAGACCAGCCTGAGCAAGAGTGAGACACTGTCTCTACTTAAAATAGAAAAAAACTAGCTAGGCCTGGTGGTGCACGCCTGTATGCCCAGCTACTCAGGAGGCTGAGGCAGGAGGATTGCTTGAGCCTAGGAGTTTGAGGTTGCTGTGAGCTAGGCTGACTCGATGGTACTCTAGCCTGGATGACAGTGACACTCTGTCTCAAAAAAAAAAAAGGATTCATTCTTTACCCCCTTTATGAATATGTGGTTGACCTAGCACCATTTCCTGGAATACCTATGTTTTCTGCACTGCTTCTTTGGCTATAACTCAACTGTCTATACAAATTCTTGGTTTATTCTTGTGCCAGTACTGTGTTATCTTAATTATTATAAGTGCAGAGTTTGTGGTTTAGTGCCCTGACGTATGTTTAACTTTGTCATCACTCAAAGAAAGACAAACTGTAACTGGAGAAGTGTTTTTTCATAGGATAATGTAGGGCAGTGTTCAGATGTAATTGTTATGAAAGGAAAGAATACTTAATTTATGGAAGAGAAAAATTAGTTCAAAGATAAGTTTAACAGAATATAAAATGATTTGAAAAGTTAAGAGTATGTTGAGTTTATTATTGGCTAATAGATGAGGGACAAATTAACAGGAAAGAGGTCTGATTTAGATGTGCAGGGTTTTTTTGTATTGTAGTTGATTACCCATTTTCATTAACAGAGACAGGTCTTAAATATTATGAACAGTCCTTAATGATTAATGTAATGTCCTATTTCCTCTTTACATATTCTAGTTTTCTTATGATGTGACAACTCTAAATTACCAGTTTAATTCTATTTAATTCATTGGAAACAATGATCCCTTTCTGCCTCTTTTTAAATAAGATAGATTGACCACCTAATGGTACTATATTATAACTTTCATAATTGAATGATGAGAGCAGAAATCTTCGCTGGGTATGTGGTATGTGCCTGTAGTCCCAGCTACACAGGAGGCTGAGGAAGGAGGATCGCTTGAGCCCAGGAGTTTGAGGCTGCAGTGAGCTGTGATTATGTCACTACACCCCAGCCTGGGTGACGGAGTCAGACGTTTACAGCTGTAAGAGACTTAGAAATTAGTTACTTAGGAATCATTTTAACTTGTAGAAGAAGTTATCTTTTTTATTTTATTTTATTTTATTTGAGACAGAGTCTCGCTTTGTTGCCCAGGCTAGAGTGGGTGCCATGGCGTCAGCCTAGCTCACAGCAACCTCAAACTCCTGGGCTCAAGCAATCCTCCTGCCTCAGCCTCCCGAGTAGCTGGGACTACAGGCATGCATCATCATGCTTGGCTGATTTTTTTCTATATATAATTAGTTGGCCAACTAATTTCTTTGTATTTATAGCTGACCTTGAGCAATCTATCTGCCCGCCTCGGCCTTCCAGAGTGCTAGGATTATAGGCGTGAGCCACCACGCCCGGCCCATTATGATTATCTAAGAGAGAGTGTGGTTCCAGATAGAATGTATAAATCAATTGGCTAACTTGTGCCTTTCACCTTAAAGGGAGAAAACTTTTTGATTCTTTTATTAAAAAGTACTTTTTCTTTTTTTCACAGATCTTTAACTTCTCTTTCTGTTCTCTTTCATTTCTAGAAGTAAAAACATATTTCTTCACTATTTTTCTTAAATAATAATTTTACTGTCAATCCCATTGGCCATAGTGTTTGTTTTCATTTTCAAAACCTCATGATACAGCCAGGCGTGGTGGCTCACGCCTGTAATCCTAGCACTCTGAGAGGTTGAGGCGGGCAAATTGCTCGAGGTCAGGAGTTCGAAACCAGCCTGAGCAAGAGTGAGACCCCGTCTCTACTATAAATACAAAGAAATTAATTGGCCAACTAATATATATATAGAAAAAATTAGCCAGGCATGGTGGAGCATGCCTGTAGTCCCAGCTACTTGGGAGGCTGAGGCAGAAGGATTGCTTGAGCCCAGGAGTTTGAGGCTTCTGTGAGCTAGGCTGACGCCACGGCGCTCACTCTAGCCTGGGCAACAAATCGAGACTCTGTCTCAATAACAAAAAAAGCTCATGATACTTTAAAAATAATCTATTTATTTATTTAAAGAAAGAGTCTCACTCTGTCACCTGGGCTAGAGTGCTGTGGCATCAGCCTAGCTCACAGTAGTAACCTCCAGCTTCTGAGCTCAAGCAATCCTTCTGCCTCAGCCTCCTAAGTAGCTGGGACTACAGGCATGTGCCACCATGCCCGGCTAATTTCTTTGTATTTTTAGTAGAGACGAGGTCTTGCTCTTGCTCAGGCTTTTCTCAATCTCCTGAGCTCAAACAATCTACCCACCTCATCGTCCGAGAGTGCTAGGAATACAGGCGTGTAGCCACCATGCCTGGCCTGTTTATTAATTTATTTTTGAGACAGAGTGTTGCTCTGTTGTGGGGCTAGAGTGCAGTGGTGTCACCATAGCTCACTGCAACCTACAAGCGATCCTCCTGCCTAAGCCTTCCTAGTAGCTTAGCTGAGACTACAGATGTGTACCACCGTGCCTGGCTAATTAAAAAAACATTTTTTTTGTAGAGAGAGGCTGAGCTCAAACTCCTGGGCGATCCTCCCACTTTGGCCTCCCAAAGTGCTAGGATTATAGGTGTGAGTCATTGCGTCCGGCCAAAAATAATAGAATATAGGCCGGGCATGGTGGCTCACGCCTGTAATCCTAGCACTCTGGGAGGCCGAGGCGGGCGGATTGCTTGAGGTCAGGAGTTTGAAACCAGCCCGAGCAAGAGCGAGACCCTGTCTCTACTATAAATAGAAAGAAATTAATTGGCCAACTAGTATATATAGAAAAAATCAGCTGAGCATGGTAACGCATGCCTGTAGTCCCAGCTACTCGGGAGGCTGAGGCAGTAGGATCGCTTGAACCCAGGAGTTTGAGGTTGCTGTGAGCTAGGCTGATGCCAGGGCACTCACTCTAGCCTGGGCAACAAAGCAAGACTCTGTCTCAAAAAAAAAGAAACAAAAATAATCTTAATAGAATATAGATCAGTATTGCCAATGGTGTTTCTCAAGTAGTATGGTCATTTTGACTACTAGAGAATTAGATTAGGTAAGAAATTTCAGAACAGTTTCTTTTACATATTGGCTCCATCAGTGATCACTTTAAAGCAGCGAAGATTATTTGACTCTGAATGATATTTCTCTCTGGAAATTGCAAGGTTGTACTTTTGTGGCATTTTAGAACGTTGCTGAGATGGCCCATGTGGTATCACTCACATGATCCTTGTTCCCAAGTTACCTTACAGCTGAAAGACTAAGAAGGATGATGTCTTCACTTTTCCCCACCCCTCACTTAGCAGCTTCCATAAAATCTTTGATTATGTGTGTAATTTTAGTATTTTAAAAAGAGGTATGTGATTGTAAACCTGTGATGAAATTACTTCTGCAGCACAGTGTGGTGTGCTGCTTACCATCAGAAAGTGTTTGCATACTGTTGAACTCAGTGTAACAGTCAAGAGCTTTGTTTAGTCTCAAAATATTATTTAATCTTGCTTTGTCTAGTCAATGTTTTCATTTTCTGTCGCTTCTAGACCAAGAGCAGTGATGACCTTTTGGCTGGAATGGCTGGAGGGGTGACGGTGACTAATGGTGTCAAAGGAAAGAAAAGCACCTGCCCACCTGCAGCACCTTCAGCATCTGCCCCTGCCATGACCACCGTGGAGAACAAATCCAAGATTAACACAGGTATGCGTGGCATTTGGTCTGAGATTTCAACTGCTTTTTTGTTTGAAATAGGCAGAGTGCATTGGTGTTTAGGGTGTCCATCTAATTGTAGACAATTTCAAACATATACAAAAGTAGACTGATATTTCAACTCCATGTGCTCCTCACGGTTACCATTTCGTAGCCAGTCGTAACTCCTTTTCATCCACCTTCGCCCTTTACTGTTTTGAAGAAAATTCCAGGTATCATATCATTTCATCCATAAGTATTTCATTGTCTTTGAAAGATAAGGATTCTTTCAAAAACATTATCACATACTGTTACCAATCCTTAAAATAATTAATAACTTTCTTAAATCATAAATTATTCAATAAGTAAAATTTCTAATAATTTTTTTTACTGTCTATTTTTATTAGAAATAGAATTCACATGGGTCAGTATATAATATATAATAATTGGCTGTTATGTCTGTAAAGTCTGTTTCTAAATCTGTGTGTTTACCCCCATTCTTGTAATTTAATTTGTAGAAAATGATCGTTTGACCTGTAGAGTTTCTAAGGATCTGGATTTTGATGTCACAACATCTCCAAGATATCCTGGCCATTGTCCTCTGTCTTCTCTCTCTCTCTCTCTTTTTTTTTTTCTCTTCTTTTTTTAGAGGCTGGTCTTGCTCTGTTGCCCAGGCCATAGTGCAGTGGTGCAATCATAGCTCACTGCAGCCTCGAACTCCTGGGCTTAGGTGATCCTGCCTCGGCCTTCTAAAGTGCTGGGACTGTAGACATGAGCCACTGTACCTCACCTTCTCTGTTTACTGTAAATGGTGTTGGATCGAGGCCTAGTGGGGTAGGTTCAGGTTCCTTTTTTTTGTGTGGATCCTCTAAAGTAGACTGAATCAGGATCCGCGCTTTTTTTTTTTTTTTTTGAGACAGAGTCTCGCTTTCTTGCCCAGGCTAGAGTGAGTGCCGTGGCGTCAGCCTAGCTCACAGCAACCTCAAACTCCTGGGCTCAAGCAATCCTCCTGCCTCAGCCTCCTGAGTAGCTGGGACTACAGGCACGCGCCACCATGCCGGGCTAATATATATATGTATATATATATTAGTTGGTCAATTAATTTCTTTCTATTTTTATAGTAGAGACGGGGTCTCACTCAGCCTGGTTTTGAACTCCTGACCTTGAGCAATCTGCCTACCTTGAACTCCCAGAGTGCTAGGATTATAAGTGTGAGCCACCTCGCCCAGCCTTTTTTTTTTTTTAAACAATACTCCTTCATAGGTGGGGACATGTCCATCAATTAGGAGGCACATTGTGTCTGGTTGTTTCTCTTTAATGATACTGGTGGTTGGGTATGGTGGCTTATACCTGTAATCCCAGCAGTTTGGGAGGCTGAGGTGGGAGGATCACTTGAGGCAGGAGTTTGAGACCAGCCTGGCTAACATAGTGAGACCCTATCTTTACAAAAAAAATTAAAAATCAACCAGGAATGGTAGCACACACCTTTAGCCCCTGCTACTTGGGAGGCTGAGGCAGGAGAATTGCTTGAGCCCAGAAGTTTGAGGTTGCAGTGAGCTCTGATGACACCACTACACTCTGGCTGGGCTACAGAGCGAGATCCTGTCTCAAAAGAAAAAAAAATTAAAAAAACAATATTAGTAGCCTCTCATGATCAGTGCCTAGATCCATTCCTTCTAATTCTCCCCTTTCTCTTCCTTCAGTAGCAGCTATTTGATTTTAGATTGGATAGAATTGCTAAATTATCGTATCCTATAGTCTAAGGAGTAATGCTATCATATTTTACTTCTTATATTTATAAAAAACTTTAAAACTTCCATTAAACATAAGATCATGTGTTTGTAATAAAGCTTATGAAAGCAAATTGGCAAAAATTATAGCAGCTCCTCTTGTGTCATCATGCTGGAGGCTCATAGCCCCTCTTGTGTGTTAGACCGTCCTAGCCCAGGTTTACCCACTGCCCGGTCTTCTGCTGTGGCCTCCTGCAGTTATTCCTTCCTTCCCAGGTCAGGCTCCACTGTTAATTATAATATTGCTGTGGTGCAGTTAACAAGAGGGAATCCAAGTCCTTAATTTATGTTTTACAGGCATTATTTCATTTTATCCTCACTGTAGCCCTATGAGGTAGGGACTATCAGTATCCTCCTTTTAGAGGTGAGAAAACTTGAGTATCTTGCCCAAGGCCATGTATTTTTTCATTTGCTCAGTAGATACTTATTGGGGCCCATTTTGAACCAGGCCACAAGGCTGATGTTAGAGCAAGGTCTTTTATTCCCAAGGCTGGTGTCATCACCCATGGAACACTCCAGCTTGTGTGGTAAGAAGGAAATGAAATACTCTTGCCATTTGTATTTCTTCCTGTTTTTTGGCTTTAGAATTGTACTGGGAGAGGGGCCATGTGTTTGCACAAGTGGTTCCTTCCCGATCGATGCCACCTGACCTCAGCATTCAGTGAGCACCTCCCTGAGTCAGTTGGCTCAGTGTGGCTCTGAATATCTGTGTTATTTTGCTGGGGATGTCATGACCACATACCACAAACTGGATGGTGTAAACTACAGAGATTTACTTTCTCACAATTCTGGAGGCTAGAAGTCTTAAGCAAGGTGTTAGCAGGTTTGCTTTCTCCTGAGGCCTCTGTTTTTGACTAACAGATGACCATCTTCTCTCTGTGTCTTCATAGAGTCGTCCGTGTGTGTGTGTGTGTGTGTGTGTGTGTGTGTGTGTGTCTCCTAATCTCCGATAAGGACACCGGTCATGTTGGATTAGGGCCCACCCTAATGACTTCATTTTGCCTTAATTACCTCTTTAACTTAATTTCCTATTTCCAGATGCAGTCACATTTGAGGTTTGGGGGTTAGGGCTGTGCAAGGGACATGGTTCAGCCTAGAACAACATCATCTGCTCCACCTTTGCTCCTCCTGGTAACTTTCCTAAGGCTGGTTAATTTTAGTGTGTCCATTTGCTTGTCTTTACCTCACATTATTCTTTTTTTTTTTTTTTTTTAGACAGAGTCTCGCTTTGTTGCCCAGGCTAGAGTGAGTGCCGTGGCGTCAGCCTAGCTCACAGCAACCTCAAACTCCTGGGCTCAAGCGATCCTCCTGCCTCAGCCTCCCAAGTAGCTGGGACTACAGGCATGCGCCACCATGCCCGGCTAATTTTTTATATATATATATCAGTTGGCCAATTAATTTATTTCTATTTATAGTAGAGACGGGGTCTCACTCTTGCTCAGGCTGGTTTTGAACTCCTGACCTTGAGCAATCCGCCCGCCTCGGCCTCCCAAGAGCTAGGATTACAGGCGTGAGCCACCGCGCCCGGCCTTACCTCACATTATTCTTAACACAATAATCCAAGAGGGCATTTTCTTCTTTGTGTTCTCTCTCCCCCTCTTCTCTTGTTTCTCTACCTTTCCTTTCATCTTGGGGCATTTCCAGTCCTTTCCCTCATTATTGGCTTTTTTTTCCTTTTGACTTTCAGACATGCACAGATTTTTCCTGTTTTTGGAGAGGTTTTTGGTTTAGATAAGAAGGATGATGGTATGTACCCTTTACAGAAATGGGGAAAGGAATTAATGTTTGGGAGAAAAGTTATGCCATCCTTTTCTTTTTTTGGCCTCCATATGCAGTTGTTTCTCCTAATGCTGTTATTTCCGCCTTTGCATCCTGTCACAGGTTTATTGTCCCTTCGCTGTTCTTGCTGCCACACCAACTGTGGGGCTCCTTTACTTTGATTGTTCCACCTACCCACGTTCCTGCTTTCCTGCTCTGCTTTCTTCCTCGTGTGTTCCACTTAGTATCCTCTAGCTTAATTTTCATAAAAATGCTCATTTCTTCATGTTTCTTCCCTGTTTAAGAACATTTATTGACTTGCTATGACTCACAGATGTTAGGGGCTCTATATAAACATTCCCCTGCATCTTCCATTAACTGTGTCACCTGACCCTCCCTTCTGTGCTCACTCCTGCGTCCTCATCCTTGTCTATTGTGTGGCCAACCTGGGTTCCTTCTTCTCTGCCACACCTGCCGTGTGTGGCTCTCTTCCTGTATCATGGAGACCACTCACTCCCTGTTACCTCTACAACCTGCTGCCCACTACATAAAGAACCTTTAAAAATGCTTATTGATAGAGATCTAGAGCTTGTTTTTTAAACTAAAAAAAAGAAAAATCTTAAGTATTCATGACTATTTAAACATATTCCTATTCTTTTTGTATTAAACAAATGGTCATGTCGATTGTTTTCACAGATTTAAAATTTCATTAATGTGATCTGTGCAGCACGTTCGATTGATGCATCATCATTATTTAATGTTAACACCTCATTAGTTTTTAATGTTTAGAGAGGCAAGATAGCATACTGGTTAAGTTGCAGATTCTGCCTGGATTTGAATGTTGGCTCATCCATTTATTACCTGTTGGCAAATTATTTAACATCTGTGTCTGAGTTTCTTCATCTGTAAAACAGGGTGACAATAACACCTACCTCAGCGTTTAATGAGGCTTGTGTAAATTAAGGTATGTGAAATGTTAATTTGTGTGTGTGGAATAATTGCTAGATATATGTTAGCTATTGTTATTACTGTCATTACTATTTATGTGGCATTCTATGATCGGAAAACCTTTTCCCATTTACTTTGGTCATAATTCTTTTGTTTCTTAGTGGTAACTTAGATTTTTGGTCTGTCCTGAGGCTGCCTTTCCCTTCCTGCCCATCTGTGGGTTCCCTTCACCATCTGTTTCCAGTTAGATTGCCACTGCCTGGCTAATCCTACAGTCAGCTTCACCTATCTTGCCCTAGAATATATGCACCCAGCCGACTAGTTAAAGCCCTGCTTTTGGATTTGAGTTGGTGTGTGTATTTTAAATAACATCTTTACTGAGATATAATTCACATTCTATAAAATTTGCCTTTTAAAAGTGTATAATAAAGTGTATAACTTTTTTTTCATTGACAATTAAAAGATGAATTATCTGGTTTGGAGGAAACTGAATTTTAAAGCAACAGACTCTAAGGCAAGATTATTGTAGGTCTAAATCAATGTGTAGATCCTAGATTTTATCTTATCCGACCTGGGGCATGAACTATATATGCCTTTTTGTTGCTAATATTTTTGCCTTAAATTCTTTGTTTCAAACATGTAGGCACAAGTTCATCAACCAAGCGGAGCACTTCTGCAGGTAATAAAGACTCCAGTTCTACTAGAGAACGATTACGTGAACGTACCCGACTAAACCAGAGCAAAAAACTGCCTTCTGCAGGTCAGGGAGCTAATGACGTGGCATTGGCTAAACGTTCCCGCAGTCGCACTGCTACGGAGTGTGATGTTCGGATGAGCAAGTCGAAATCGGACAATCAGATCAGTGACAAAGCTGCTTTGGAAGCCAAGGTGAAGGATCTTCTCACACTGGCAAAAACCAAGGACGTGGAAATTTTACATTTGCGAAATGAACTCCGAGACATGCGTGCGCAGCTGGGCATCAGTGAGGGTCACTGTGAGGGTGACGAGAAGCCTGAGAAGGAAACCATTATTGCTCACCAGCCCACTGATGTTGAGTCCACCTTGTTGCAGCTGCAGGAGCAGAATACTGCCATCCGTGAAGAGCTCAACCAGCTGAAAAATGAAAACAGAATGTTAAAGGACAGGTTGAATGCATTGGGCTTTTCCCTAGAGCAGAGGTTAGACAACTCTGAAAAACTGTTTGGCTATCAGTCCCTGAGCCCAGAAATCGCCCCTGGTAACCAGAGCGACGGGGGAGGAACTCTGACCTCCTCAGTGGAAGGCTCTGCCCCCGGCTCAGTGGAGGATCTCTTGAGTCAGGATGAAAACACGCTTATGGACCATCAGCACAGTAACTCTATGGACAATTTAGACAGCGAGTGCAGTGAGGTTTACCAGCCCCTCACGTCGAGCGACGACGCGCTGGACGCACCGTCATCTTCAGAGTCGGAAGGCATCCCCAGTATAGAGCGCTCCCGGAAGGGGAGCAGCGGGAACGCGAGCGAGGTGTCCGTTGCTTGCTTGACAGAGCGGATACACCAGATGGAGGAGAACCAGCACAGCACCAGTGAGGAACTCCAGGCAACTCTGCAAGAGCTAGCTGACCTACAGCAGATTACTCAGGAGCTGAATAGTGAGAACGAGAGGCTTGGAGAAGAGAAGGTTATTCTCATGGAGTCTTTGTGTCAGCAAAGCGATAAGTTGGAACACTTTAGCCGACAGATTGAGTACTTCCGCTCCCTTCTAGATGAGCATCACATTTCTTATGTCATAGATGAAGATGTAAAAAGTGGACGCTATATGGAGCTAGAACAACGCTACATGGACCTAGCCGAGAATGCTCGTTTTGAACGAGAGCAGCTTCTTGGTGTCCAGCAGCATTTAAGCAATACTTTGAAAATGGCAGAACAAGATAACAAAGAAGCTCAAGAAATGATAGGAGCACTCAAAGAACGCAGTCACCATATGGAGCGAATCATTGAGTCTGAGCAGAAGGGGAAAGCAGCCTTGGCAGCCACGCTGGAGGAGTACAAAGCCACAGTGGCCAGTGACCAGATAGAGATGAACCGCCTGAAGGCCCAGCTAGAGAACGAGAAGCAGAAAGTGGCGGAGTTGTATTCTATCCACAACTCTGGAGACAAATCTGATATTCAGGATCTCCTGGAGAGTGTCAGGCTGGACAAAGAAAAAGCAGAGACTTTGGCTAGTAGCCTGCAGGAAGATCTGGCTCATACCCGAAATGATGCCAATCGATTGCAGGACACCATTGCTAAGGTATTGTTTAAGTAGATTAAAACATTCTGAATCAGCTTTTGGCAGCCGTTGTGCACAACATATTTGCTGAGAGCCAGGATCACTTGTTTGGTGTGTTATTAGTTATTTTTTAAAGCTGATTTTTTAAAATTTTTAAATTTTTTTTTGAGACCGGGTCTTGCTTTGTTGCCCCAGGTAGAGTACAGTGGCTTCAGCCTAGCTCACTGTAACCTCAAACTCCTGGGCCCAAGAGATCCCGGAGTAGCTGGGACTACAGGTACATGCCACAACTGCTGGCTGATTTTTTTCTGTTTTTGTGGTAGAGAAGAGATCTCGCTCTTGCTCAGGTTGGTCTTGAATTCCTGAGCTCAAGTGATCTTCCCATCTCCTCCTCTTCCTAGAGTGCTAGGATTACAGGCATGAGCCACCAAGCCCAGCCAAAAAGTTGATATTTTTTAAGCTTGAAAATGGTTTTCTTTTATTGGAATAGAGTGAAAAGCATTCTTATGATAATGTCTCTTCCACTCAATTGTATTTCATTACATTTCATAAGTTTTCTTGCCTGTGAGAGGATGTGGCTTGAGTTACAACTAATACCAGAATCTGTCCTTGGTTGTGGAGCAGATTATATAATTTACATCCTCATCTCCAATATATTTTGGTATAAGATAGATGGAGAGCCAGTATTCCTGTCTATAGGATCAGCAATACCTGTCACTTGTGATTCTGCTGTCATTGTAGGTTTCTTTTGGTGACAGAGTCTTGTTCTGTCTCCCTGACTAGAGTGCAGTGGTGTCATTATAGCTTACTACAACCTCAAACTTCTGGGCTCAGGTGATCCTCCTGCCTCAGCCTCCCAAGTAACTGGGACTACAGGTGCCCACACCATGACATTCGGCTAATTTTTCTATTTTTTTGTAGAGGCAGGGTCTTGCTCTTGCTTAGGCTGGTCTCAAACTCCTGGCCACAAGTGATGCTCCTGCCTTGGCCTCCCAAAGTGCTGTGATTACAGGTGTGAGTCACTGAGCCTGCCCCTGCTGTAGTTTTTTTCCAAATAGAATTCTGTTGTGAGTTAAAAGTAATTTAGGAGTATAGAGACTCCTGTTTCTTAGAGGTCTATAATTTGTTGCTGACAGGGACCTTAGAGCTCATTGGCCCAACCCCCTTGTGTTATATGCAGCAGTGTAGCAGTGAGGGCTCAGCTGGAACTGCTGCCCAGGGCTGCTGACTTTCTGCCTGGGGATCTGTGCCCTGCATGGTTGCTGATGAAGTGTTTATTTCCATGAGGTATCCAATTAATTCTCTCTCACATTTTATTTATTTGTTGTTTTAGTGCAATGATTTTTAAAGAAAGATATCAGTGTATCTTTGGCCAAAATTTGAATAGTTTAGACTTTAATATTTTTTTAGTGATCACTTTTAGAGATAGAGTTTAGGATATGTGTGTTATTTCTTGGTGCATGTATGTTGAGGGGGCATTATAAACGAATACTTCTGCGAAGACACTATTTGAGCATTTTTTCATGTGTCCATTTTCAATTTGATAGTGTAATTGTTACCAATAAGACATCATTTATGGAGGAGAGCATGTTAATCATTAATCAAATGCATATGCTTTCAGTCCAAACTTTGGAGAAGGGAAAATTTCCAAAATTTTCTCATAAATAATCTGGTTAAGATCAGTGATATGTCAATATAATTTTAGTCAGTGATGAGCAACAGTTTATATACTTAAGCATATTACATAAAGTGTTATATTATTATAGAGTACTTGTTGATAGTTTTTAACAGTTATTAAACAGCTTGTTTTGGTTTTTGCATAGCACCTCACACATAGCTTCTGTTTGCAACAGTGTATACCTCAGTTCTAGAACCTAATCGTGAAACAATTCTTACTTTTCTAAATCTGCATCATCAATTTTATGTAGGTAGAAGATGAATACCGAGCCTTCCAAGAAGAAGCTAAGAAACAAATTGAAGATTTGAATATGACATTAGAGAAATTAAGATCAGAGCTGGAAGAAAAAGAGACAGAAAGGAGTGACATGAAAGAAACCATCTTTGAACTTGAAGATGAAGTAGAACAACATCGAGCTGTGAAACTTCATGACAACCTCATCATTTCTGATTTAGAGAGTAAGTGATGAGAGAACTTTTTTTTTTAATGTTTTAAAGTTTCATCTTTTTAGTCAGCTTCATGAATGATATAACCTAAATGAGAGAACTTTTCATTCCTTTTTATTCTACTCTTTTAAACATGGGGATATTTTGCATTTAGTAATAAAATAAAAATTAATACTTCTGATTGGTATTGTAGTCCAAAGGCACAGCTGTAGTGTATACATATGGTAAAAGTGTAATTCACACATTGGTTGATAATCTTTTTGGACTGCTGTGTTGTGTTTCTAAAGAAGAACTCTTAGGTAGAAGCAATAACTTTACAATTATGCCTAATTAAGGAAAATCATTTAAGTGAAAAGCTAATGGGATTATTATTTTCTAGATCTTAATAAAAGGCATTTATTATTTACTTACAGTGATTGCAAGTGAGACAGAAAAATATTGATCCTGAATGATCTTTTTTTTTTTTTTTTTTTAATTGCCATAGTACAGGGTAAGATCCTGAATGATCTTAAGCCTAAGCCACAGGTTTTTATTTATTTGTCTGATTTTCCTTCGTACTATGAAGATTTTCATAATATGGTGGAATTGAAACTCAGTTTTTAAGTTTCTTTGTCTTTATGTTAAAACTTTTTAAAAAAGATTATTTTCTGATTTTTTTAGACTTAGAAAAAAGTTGTAAAAATAGTACAAAGCATTTCTGTGTAGAAATTGTGATGAGGAATAGGACATTTGCATGACCTTAAAATGTATTCCCATAGGCTGTTTACTAGTTACAAGTGAAGAAGAAAAATAAACATAATTATATAGTAGACAAATTGGGCAGCACTTTGACCAGGCAGTCATGTGAGTGACAGAGGCACATGGATATTGGACACAGCATTGGCCTGGCCATGTTCTGACTGAGGCATAACTCCAATTAATCACAAACATTAGAAGGCAAAAAGTGAGGAATAGTCTACTAAAAACAAGTGTGGGGCATGCTATCTTTCTCACAAATGTCAATGTTGTAAAAGACCAAGGCTGTGGAAATGTTATTGATTAAAGAATGCTAAGGAGACATGACAATTAAATGTCATACTTATGCCTGGATGGCCCAGTACTTCAGGGGGAAAATACTATAAAGAACATTATCACAAGGCCGGGCGCTGTGGCTCACGCCTGTAATCCTAGCTCTTGGGAGGCCGAGGCGGGCGGATTGCTCAAGGTCAGGAGTTCAAAACCAGCCTGAGCAAGAGCGAGACCCCGTCTCTACTATAAATAGAAAGAAATTAATTGGCCACCTGATATATATATAAAAAAATTAGCCGGGCATGGTGGCGCATGCCTGTAGTCCCAGCTACTCGGGAGGCTGAGGCAGAAGGATCACTCAAGCCCAGGAGTTTGAGGTTGCTGTGAGCTAGGCTGACGCCACGGCACTCACTCTAGCCTGGACAACAAAGTGAGACTCTGTCTCAAAAAAAAAAAAAAAAAAAAAGAACATTATCACAAAATTGGAATATGTTTGGTAGATTAAATAAAGGTATCATATTGGTGTATAAATTTACAAAGTTGATTACTTTGGTTTTTTTTTTTTTTGAGACAGAGTTTCACTCTGTTCCCCAGGCTAGAGTGCCGTGGCATCAGCCTAGCTCACAGCAACCTCAACACTCCTAGGCTAAAGCAATCCTCCTTCTTCAGCCTCCCGAGTAGCTGGGACTACAGGCATGCGCCACCATGTCTGGCTAATTTTTTCTATATATTTTTAGTTGTCCAATGAATTTCTATTTCTTTCTATTTTTAGTAGAGAGGGGGTCTTGCTCTTGCTCAGGCTGGTTTTGAACTCCTGACCTTGAGCAGTCCTCCTGCCTCAGCCTCCCAGAGTGCTAGGATTACTGGTGTGAGCCACCGCGCCTGGCCCTGATTACTACATTTATGTAAGAGAATATCCCTGTTCTTCGGAGCCACACACTGAATATTTAGGGGCAAAGAGCCATGATGTATATCTTCAAATGATTCTAGAAAAACATTAGAGCTAGAACAAATGAGTACACTGTTAACAATAGGCAAATCCAAGTAAAAGGGTATATGGATGTTCCTTGTAGTATTTTTGTAACTTTTTGTAAGTTTGAAATTATTTCCAAATAATACATTTAAAGAATTCGTACACATTCTTCATCTAGATTCCTCAAATATTAACACATTTTAAGTTGTAATATACTTTTATATTGCCCAGGCGGGATGGAAAGGGAGAATGGGGGTAAAACCTTTTTTGATGCATTGGGTACAGCCTTTATTTATTAATTTTTTTTTTTTTTTTTTTTTTTTTTGAGACAGAGTCTCACTTTGTTGTCCAGGCTAGAGTGAGTGCCGTGGCGTCAGCCTAGCTCACAGCAACCTCAAACTCCTGGGCTCAAGCGATCCTCCTGCCTCAGCTCCGAGTAGCTGGGACTACAGGCATGCCCACCATGCCCGGCTAATTTTTATATATATCAGTGGCCAATTAATTTCTTCTTTATAGTAGAGACGGTCTCGCTCTTGCTCAGGCTGGTTCGAACTCCTGACCTTGAGCAATCCGCCCGCCTCGCCTCCCAAGAGCTAGGACTACAGGCGTGACCACAGCGCCCGCCTGATTTATATTTTTTGGAACAGAGTCTCATTTGTTGCCAGGCTAGAGTGAGTGCTGGCGTCAGCCTAGCTCACAGCAACCTCAAACTCCTGGGCTCAAGTGATCCTGCTGCCTCAGCCTCCCAAGTAGCTGGGACTACAGGCATGCGCCACCATGCCCGGCTAATTTTTTCTATATTTATTAGTTGGCCAATTAATTTATTTCTATTTATAGTAGAGACAGGGTCTCGCTCTTGCTCAGGCTGGTTTTGAACTCCTGACCTCGAGCAGTCTGCCTGCCTCAGTCTCCCAGAGTGCTAGGATTACAGACGTGAGCCACCACGCCCGGCCTGGGTACAGCTTTTAAAACTCGTGGTTCATGCTACTGCTCCTTTGGGCTCTACCAGTTTATTATTCATTAACAGAGCATTAAGTGGCAGGTCCCATGTACTGTGTACTATGGATGCATAGATAGGGAGCTTTGAACCATTGCCAGGCGAGAGTGGGTCACTTGCTAGAGCCCCTAAAAGTGTCTTGTGGCATTTCTGAGCTCTGGCTGGCTGACCCAGCATCTGCAGATTGACTCCATGGTTGTTTGGACCATTCTGAGGCCCTCATGTACTAAAGTGTACAGAGTATGGGACTGTGTCTTTTGGAGAAGATGATTGATTGTCATAGAGATAAATTTTCTCATCTAAAGTTTAAAAAACCTTTCAACATTTGTATTTAGTTTATAGTTTTACTTGAGGGGATGTATCTAATTCTGCTTCCTAAATGTAAGGGGTTCTAAAGTTTTTTAGACTAATTTGGAAATTCAGTGTACTTCTAGTGTACAGGTATTATAGGTAATCTTTTTCTGAGAAACTTTTGTTTTGAACATGTAAAGAGTGCCACCTTGTGGTAATTGGGGCAAAAGCTAGAAAAATAAGATGGTCAGGATTGTTGGGACAAAATTTTAGAAATCCTTACAGTAATATTTTGTGGATTTTAATTAGAAAATGTCTGAACATCCTGAATACATTTTTTTACCCATGTAGCTTCTCTCCTCAGTTTTTTGAAATGAAAAGTTCAAATATACAGATATATTGAAAGAGTAGTGTAGTTACCACCTACGCCTGTGTTTGACAGTTGTTAACGTTTTGCAATGTGCACCTTCATGTGTGTATGTGTGTGTATTTAACTGAACTGGTTGACAGTAAGTTTTTTTTTTTTTTAAGATGGCCAGGTTTAAGTGTTTAATAGAGGAAACTATATATTTAAAAATTTATTATTCAGTCAAGAGAATACAAATTAAGACAGCTCTAAGCTCTCCCCACCCACCCAAAGAAAAAAATAGGAAAAAAAAATTAAATATGTCATTTTACTTAGGTTTTTTGGAATTCAAAATTGTTAATTGCTGACATTAATGGTGTGCTATGACCTAGTTATAAAAGACAAAGATGGATTCCAAGTCATAAGGAAAAATCCAGATCTTTTTAAAAAGTCTTCTTCATTCTTCCAATTGTGAGTCCTTTGGCCTGTTGACAAATGTTAAACAATATACTGAGGCATCCTGAACTAGATGATGGAGTCAAAGGAAAAACATTCCTCATTTACAACAAAGGAAAAACCCACTTGGCCATTTTATTGCATTGCAGAAAAATGGGTTCCGTCATCTGTTGGTCACTTCTTATTGTCTGGTCGACAGTAAGTTGTTGACTCATGACATTTATAAATATTTCAACATGCAGTTCCTAAAAAAGCATTCTTCTCATAACCACAATATTATTGTTGCATGTAGTAAAATTAGTCATAATTCCCTAGTGTCATCTAATAGCCTGTATTCAGATTTTCCCAGCTGTCCTCAAAATGTCTTTTTCAGTTTTTATAAGGTCTAGAATCTAAACAGATTTCACACATTACATTTATAGGTTACATCTCTGTAGTCTGATAGGAGGTTTTTTTTTTTCCTAGAGAATTCTAGCATTTGGGATAGATACTAAGTCAGGACTTGGTATAAGGGACTGATGACAGGGAATATTGTTAGTTGAGAAATTGACATTTCCTTCTGTGCATTGTTTTTTGTTGTTTTTTGTTTTTGTTTTTGTTTTGAGACAGTCTCCCTTTGTTGCCCAGGCTAGAGTGAGTGCTGTGGCATCAGCCTAGCTCACAGCAACCTCAAACTCCTGGGCTCAAGTAATCCTGCTGCCTCAGCCTCTTGAGTAGCTAGGACTACAGGCATGCGCCACCATGCCCGGCTAATTTTTTCTATATATAATAGTTGGCCAATTAATTTCTTTCTATTTATAGTAGAGATGGGGTCTTGCTCTTGCTCAGGCTGGTTTCAAACTCCTAACCTGGAGCAATCTGCCCGCCTTGGCCTCCCAGAGTGCTAGGATTGTAGGCGTGAGCCACCGCGCCCGGTCTGTGGCCTGGATTTTAAAGTAGCT